GCTTTGAGTTTCTCTCCATTTAATTTGATGGTGTCTGTTGGCTTGCTGTAAATTGCCTTTATTATGTTTAGAAATGTTCCTTGTATTCCTGATCTTTCTAAGACCTTTATCATGAAGGGGTGTTGGATTTTGTCAAAGCATCTAATGAGATGATCATGTGTTTTTTCTTTCATTTTGTTTATATGGTGCATTACATTGACAGATTTTCGTATGTTGAACCATCCTTGCATCCTTGCATTTCGAATCCCCTTTACAATACATAGCCCTGATTGGCATTTAACTAAATCACTTTATAGACAAGGTTGGCCTTACATTTGTGACAGCCCTCCTGCCTCTGCCTGGCAGTTTTGGAATTATAGGTTATACCACTTTGTTTCACTCAGGAAGATTTTAAATGCCAAACTGAAGCAAAGTCAAAGTGGGTGGGTTTTGGAATCTAAGACCAGTTAAGAGTTTTTTGTGTGGGGTTGTATGTGTATGTGATGACGACTTCCGGAATTAGTGCTCTGCTTCCAGCGTGTGGGTCCCAGAGGCTGAACCCAGAGGATCAGTTTTGCAGCAGCCACTGTCCTAGTTAGATTTCTACTGCTGTGACTAAACACCATGACCAGAACTTACAGAGGAAAGTGGTCATTTCGTCTCACAGTTCTTAGGTCCCACTCGGTCACTGAGTGAAGAAGGGAGGCAGAAACTGAAGCAGAAGCCACAGAGGATCTGGTTACCGGTTTTTGCTCATCATGTCTTGCTCACACTGCTTTCTCATACCATCTTATACTAGGACCCACCTGCCCAGGGGTAGCAGCACCCCCAGTGGTCTGGCCCCCCATATCAGTTAGTAATCAAGAAAGTGTCTGCAGACTGGCCTCCAGGCAGTCTGATGGAGGCGTTTTCTCAGGTGAGGCTCCTCTTCCCGGATGACTGTAGCTTGTGTCCAGTCACTGAACAACCAAACAGGTACTTTTTTTTTTTTTGCCTGCTGAGCCATTATGTTGGCCTAGATTAAGAGTGTTTTTGTTTGTTTGTTTGTTTGTTTGTTTTTGAGGTAGGGTTTCTCTGTTTAGCTTTGGTTGTCCTCTGTAGACCAGGCTAGCCTCAAACTTAGAGATCTGCTCGCCTCTGTCTACTGAGTGCTAGGATTAAAGTTGTGTGCTACTCTTCCCAGCTCCAAATGAAGAGTTTTAAAGATGACTTTTTCTTTTCTTTTTTCTTTTGAGACAAGGTCTTATATAACATAGGTGACCTGGAATTCTCTTTAGTACTAGGATGACTTTGAACTTCTGATCCTCTTACCTCCTCCTCCCAGGTGCTAGGATCCCAGGTGTGATACAGAGTAAAACATACTCTCCTCCCTTTGTCTTCCTGTTGGTAGCCACTTGGGTTGTTCAGAATTGTTCCTCAATTACTCTCCACTTTTAAAAGGTTCTATGTGTTATCAGTGTGTGTGTGTGTGTGTGTGTGTGTGTGTGTGTGTGTGTGTGTGTGTTTGTTTGTTTAGGTCAGAGGACAACTTGCAGGAGTTAGTTACTTTCTTTCACTATGGGTTCTAGGGATTGAACTTGGGTTGTTGGGTTGCCAGGCTTGAATGACCAGCAGGCTCAGGGCATCTGCCTCCCCAGCACTTGGTTGCAGGTGTGATCTAGTGCTCCTGGATTTTTGACATGGGTTCTGGGGGTCAAACTCAGGTCCTCCTGCTTTTGCTGAAGGCACTGTACCGACAGAGCCATGTTCCTGGCACTTGAGCTTTTCCAGACAGGTTTTCTCTGTGTAACAGCCCTGGCTGACCTGGAACTCGAGTTGTAGACCAGCCTGGCCTTGAACTCACAGAGATTCACCTGCCTCTGCCTCCCAAGTGCTGGGATTAAAGTCGGGCATCACCACCACCTGGCTTTTTTTTTTTTTTTTTTAAAGAAAGGTATGGTACTGGGTGGTGGTGGTGCACGCCTTCAATCCCAAGCACTCGGGAGGCAGAGGCAGGTGGATCTCTGTGAGTTTGAGGCCAGCCTGGTCCACAGAGTGAGATCCCAGACAGGCACCAAAACTACACGGAGAAACCCTGTCTCAAAAAAACAAAAATCAAAACCAAAAAGGCATGGTAGTAAATACCTGTATTTCCAGCATTCAAGAGGCAGAGGCTGAAGAATCAACATGAGTTTGAGGCCAGCCTGGGCTACATAGTGATACCCCTGTCTCAAAAAAAAAAAAAAATGCAGAGGGAAGGGCAGTATGCTGAGGCAGAGCATAGAGTGGGTAGGGAGTGAACAGAGGTGGGATCTGTTTGTCTTATTTCTTTGGCCAGCAGGCAGCCTTTTGAATGTAATAGGGCTTTGGGATGTAGCTAAGTGGTAGTGTGGTGTCTAGAGCACAAGTCCAGGACTCTATCCCCAGCACTCCAAAATCAATGAGGGGAGGAGAAAAAGGAGGCGCAGTTCTATATCGCAGCCTCAAGATGGCGCTCTCCTGCACAACACTCTGTCTAGGGAAAGCTGGAGAACACCTAGAGCTTTGTAGATGGGGAGGAGTTGTCAGGATTCCCAAGACGTTGACTGCTTGTTCTGCAATCTCAGTCCTGGGAGACATAGAAGAGGTTTCTTCATACTCACATGTCTGAAGTCCGGAGGGTCGTTTTCTGGTCCTCCAAGAACTTGTAGCTGTTTCTCTTTTGCTAGGCCTCCCGAGATGTTATGGTCTGCGTGTCTCTCAACAGGTCCAGTGTCCCATGAGCAGAAGCTGTCGCAAAGTTTAGAAATTGCCTTGACTTCTACCCTTGGCTCCATTCCTTGCTTCACTGCCCGGCTCTCCAGGGGGCAGCTCCAGCAGCTGGGCACAAGAGGGAGTGGTGCTGCCAGGAGACCAGCCGCCAGCTCCGGTGAGTTGTGCTCTGGCATCTCCCTGTGCGGGATGTGGGCCTGTCGCTTCCTGTTCTGTGGGCCTGCAGAGCCAGCTCCCTTAGCGTAACTCCTGTTCTGTGGAGAGAACTTCTCTCCTGTCTTCTCCAGAAGGGGCTGTGGGGCTGCCGGAAATGGGACTCATCACAGGCAAGATCTTTAGCCCTGTCATTGTGTGGACTCTAGCCTGGCTGTCCTTTGCTATAGGTTTTTGTTTTGGTTATTTTGACATGGGGTCTTGGTGGCCTTGAACTTTCCAGTTCCCGAGTGTGGGGTTACAGAGGTTCCCGTCACACTTGGCTGTGGTGGGCTGACAGTTCTGTCCTGCGACTGACTGTACTGCTCCTCTCGCTGACATCCGGGTGATTTATCGACATGTGAAGAGCGGTGTACGGTTCAGATGTCA